GAAAGCCTTTGTATAATAACAAATGCACACATTTAGAACCATTTTCTAGAGTTTGGTCAAAGAGAAGACATAATATTGCAAAAGAACACTTGCCAAAAATCATGACAATGTTCTACTGGGTTGTCAAGAAAGTCAAGATGCATTTTCTCATTCTGAGAAGCACACGTCAGTGCCAGATGTACATCTCCCATCTTCCCAACTGCTGTTTCTCCACCTGCTAGAGTAAGAAAATTATTCCTTCTCATCCCACCTGCCTCAGAGGATTCTAGGAGGATAAATGTGAATACGTCACAGAAAACCTTAGACAATCCAAGTCAGTGAAATATTTCCAAAATCAATTTGTCATGTCCACACTAAGTTTTATGTGGCCAGTACAGTAATCCCTTCTCCTCCATTCTCCTCTCGGGATCTTGGGCATGCATGCACATGTGCCCGGCGTGAGTTTTGAGCCACCGGGTCCGGGATGCAAACCGCGGTCGACTACGTGGGAGTCCAGCGACATAGCCATTACGTTAACTGCTGGTTCCCAATGAGCTCTAATGTTAATCCTATTTTCCATAGCTTTTTGAAGTTCTCTATGTAACAAAAGAATCCCAAAACTACAAGTCCTCTTAGAAGAATGCAGTCCAATCCAACCCAAGGTGGAATTCCATCTACTGGAAAGGAGACACTCAAAGACACCAAGCTCACTTTTTAACAAGGCCATTTTGCACTTACAATTTTTTTTTCTCATGATTTGAAATCCGCTTCTTTAGAACTTCCCTCACTGATTTTGGTAATTTTTTGCATCCATGTAAAATAAGTCTTTTTTCATGTGGCAACATTTGAGATCCTCAGGTGCAGCTGTCAGTTCTCCTTTTCCCACAAGACATGAGTACCAAGGTCCTCATTTACCATCCTAAGCACCTCCCTCCACGTATCAAAATTTCTCAGCATTCCCATTCCAAGGTAGGCAGGAACCTATACATGAGGTTTCTCTACTAAAAAACTTTTCTATCCTGGAATAACAGCTACAAATTCATAGTAATTTTATCATAGAGCTACAGGCTGAATATCCCTTTCTTAAACAAAAACTTCAGATGTGTCCATTTTACTGATATTGAACTTTGACAAAAAAAAAATGAAAAATAAAAAAGATTTTAAAATTGTACTTCTGGGGCCGGCAGGTGGCAGAGTTAAGGTGGCTGGATTCCACATGGCTGACTGAGCAGTTCGAATTGTGGACTTGGCAGCCTGAAAAATGCACTGAATGTGTGTGCGTGTGTACCCCAAATTTCAAGAGACTGAGAAGGGGTGCTTTCTCACTTTTTCTCTGTCTCTCTCCAGCAAGTACATGTACACTATTGCAAACTTAAAAAAAAAAAAAAAAAAAAAAGGAATTGCCCTACCTTAATTCTACAGAAAGGAACCCAATTCCTAAAGCTCCCCAAAATTTAAACATTTGAAATTGCTCCAGGACTTGTGTTTGGGACCACGCAGACATGCCATCCTTAGAATTCATTTTTCAAGGATCTGGATTGAATACAATCAAGATACTGAGATTTATATTTTCTAATGCTCAGAAATAATCAAGAAAGTCAAAGTTACTTCTCAGAAATATTATATAGGGACCAGAAGATGGCATGATGGTTACATCACTGAATTCCCACCTGGCCTACTATGGTTCGAATCCTAAACCCGGTGGCTTGAAGCTCACACTGGATGGATATGATTGACCAAAATCTCGATAGGAGAAAAATGGAGTGGGATTGTGGCATGGCCATCTTCCTGGGGAAGGGAACTTCTTGCTTTCTCTCTCTCTTTCTGTCTCTCTAGCAAGTGCACATGCCCTATACCAAAAAAAATTTCTTAAAAAAGAAACAAAAAACTATGATCTGGCAAACCCACCAACCTAAAAGCATAAGAGCAGACTAAGCTCATCATCCAGTGAGTCTTTACAGCTCCATAACAAAAAGAGACCCCTAAGCCTTCCTGATTCCATGGTTCTTCAAAGACCACTGGCTAAATAATCTACCAGTGATAAACCTCTCTCTGTTACCTACCCTGATCAATCTCAGGGCCTTCCAATGCCTCATATATAGGGCACATACAAGGACTGGGATATATACTGTAAAATCTATTAATGATTTTGCTAAAGAACTGACAAGCTTAAAAATGCAGTATAGGTGGACCAGCAGATGGCGTAATGGTTACATCATTGGACTCCCACGGAGCTGACTGTGGTTTGCATCCCAGATCCGCCTGGCAGCTTAAAATTCATGCCAGGCATGTGTGGGTGCAGGCCCAAAATCCTGAGAGGAGAATGGAAGAGAAGGGACTGCAGTGTGGCCATCCCCCCAGGAGGTGATTTCTCACTTTTTATCTCTGTATCTCTGGCGAGCACATGTGCCCTACAGCACAAATTTCTCTCAAAGGAAAAAGAAAAATACAGTATAGGAAAATTATTCATAGTTGTGGAGGAGGACGGGGAAAAATGCCAAATGGGATTTTAATGAGGATGTCTCAGTATGAACATATGTAAAAACTTCTAGATACAGGCATGATGGTGAACAAAATGATCAAGCTAAGTTTCAAGACAGTATATAGGTATATAAGATCACGGTGATTACATACACAACAAACAGCTTATTTGCAAAGGACCAGTTTCTTCATTTTTAACGAGTCAACATACCTGGCTCCTAAAAAAACACTCAACTAGACAAACATACCAAACGCATTAGTCAGAAATATAGCTTTATTATCATAATAGTTCATAATCTAAAAACTTCTTTTTAAGTTCTGGGAACACAATATTCCAGCTTCTGTACAACTGACCCTGAAGAATACTGGAAAACCGTGTCTAAGAAATCTGAACATTGCAGATAAGGATCAATGACCTATTTGGGGGGGAAAAGAAAGGACAGTATAAATGAAGATTTTTTTTCCTACAAAATGAAAAACATTAGATTTATTCTCTAGTTTAATCTTGACCTTGTTTTCCCAGAAGCTTTGGTGAGTTCTTCAAAAAAGCAACTTCCTCAACTCTAAGGAGGACTGTCCATGAGGGCAAAGAAAACAGTTTAAAATAAGACGCAAATGTGACATGGCACACAGCTCAGGCCGTGGGTGCAGGCCCAAAATCCTGAGAGGAGAATGGAAGAGAAGGGACTGCAGTGTGGCCATCCCCCCAGGAGGTGATTTCTCACTTTTTATCTCTGTATCTCTGGCGAGCACATGTGCCCTACAGCACAAATTTCTCTCAAAGGAAAAAGAAAAATACAGTATAGGAAAATTATTCATAGTTGTGGAGGAGGACGGGGAAAAATGCCAAATGGGATTTTAATGAGGATGTCTCAGTATGAACATATGTAAAAACTTCTAGATACAGGCATGATGGTGAACAAAATGATCAAGCTAAGTTTCAAGACAGTATATAGGTATATAAGATCACGGTGATTACATACACAACAAACAGCTTATTTGCAAAGGACCAGTTTCTTCATTTTTAACGAGTCAACATACCTGGCTCCTAAAAAAACACTCAACTAGACAAACATACCAAACGCATTAGTCAGAAATATAGCTTTATTATCATAATAGTTCATAATCTAAAAACTTCTTTTTAAGTTCTGGGAACACAATATTCCAGCTTCTGTACAACTGACCCTGAAGAATACTGGAAAACCGTGTCTAAGAAATCTGAACATTGCAGATAAGGATCAATGACCTATTTGGGGGGGAAAAGAAAGGACAGTATAAATGAAGATTTTTTTTCCTACAAAATGAAAAACATTAGATTTATTCTCTAGTTTAATCTTGACCTTGTTTTCCCAGAAGCTTTGGTGAGTTCTTCAAAAAAGCAACTTCCTCAACTCTAAGGAGGACTGTCCATGAGGGCAAAGAAAACAGTTTAAAATAAGACGCAAATGTGACATGGCACACAGCTCAGGCCATGGCATGTAAGTATAGTATCCCTCCAAGTAAGCCAGCTCCCATATTTCAACAGTATAATAGCTCTTAAAGAAAGCACAACATACAGAACACATTCCCTGTACAGGAGTCAGAATAGACAGAATATAGTCAGAAACTTAAAAAGAAAATAACATAATAAATCTCAAAACCACCTGTCTTGAGTAATGTATGTAGAGTAGATATGGCATTATGGTGCTTTCTAAAGATCGCTGGTACCACTGTCATGCCCTCTAGTCATATTAAATTAAAATTGAAAATAGAAGTTACTTTAAAGAAAATGGGAAGAAAGATCTGGCCATACCATCTTTAAAAACAAGTTGCTGTCATCGCATATTCGTTACGGGACAAAGAGCATGCAGTACAACTAAGTAATTTTTTTTCTTATGTAAAAGGCTAAAGTGCAATTATGGTATAAGCATCAATAATAAATAACTTTGGAGGTTAATTCTCCAAATAAATACATTACAGTTTTTACAATGTAAGCCCCTAAACACTGATATTCACAGCAATGGTTTTCCCACTGCATAGCTGCCTGTACACCACATGAATAAATGGTCTATCCCCAATGGTCAAAAGTCAAAGACTCAAAAATCAATATTTTCACTATGATAGGTTCAAAATCTGTATATAGTAAGTAACACTTTTCAATTTACTGGCATTTTAAGTAACTGCCTTATTACCTAGTGTTAATTCACTGCTAATATGATGCTTATTGAAATAACAATTATAGTTCTACTAATATTAATTAGGTTACAGCCTTACTTTTTAAAATAAGAGAATGCGATTTATATGAACAAACATATATAGCTTAAAAATCACCCACCACAAACACACACTTTCTCCATGAGTATTTAAAAATAAATTATTGATATACTTGACATATATATTTAGTATGTATTTTAATAGATATATATATATACATATATATTTGTGATCAAACTAATTCTTGTTTCCAGAAAAATGTTCTCACTTGGAAACTTTACATGAGACCTGATGATACTGCTAAACTTAGGAGGAAAAAAATGACATAGAAATTCATTCTTGAAGAAAATCGTAAAGCAGGTTTGTATCAGATAGTTCTTTGTGGAAACAACAGCCTTTTTAGAAAGGAGAGGGCAGTGTCAGACTGGATCCTATATGCATTGCTTATTTCAGGACTTACTGTGGGATGCAATGTACAGTGGTCACTCAACACTTGGAGGTATAGTTGAGTAATAAAGGGTATAGTTTAGTAATAAAAGGGTGTAGACACGGCAGGAGGCAAAGTGAACTGTTGGATGGAAAAGTCAAGTTGGCGAAGAGAAAGTCATGCCCACAGCTGCTGATACTACCAGGGAAGCAGGTCTTAGAGAAGGGCTGAGTGACACCTACAGCACCTCCAGGATGGTCACAGGACATGACCTGTGCGATCTGCTGGCGTTACAACCACTCAGACACTGCACCCATGATGGGTATGATCCAAAGGGTGGCACCATCTTCTCCAGCCACAGCAATAGAAGCAGCTATTAAGACAGAGGCTGGAAGCACAGTCTGAGGGGGCAGAATACGTGGCCATGAAAAGCATGGAAGTGTACCAAAATCTGAATAAACATGCACCTAAGAAAACAAAAAAACCTGAAAAACAGTCTGTTGAAATGAGAACTAAGTCTGACTGAACACGTCCCTTCAGCAACTCCAAGACTGCAATCTTGATTAACCAGAATACCTGGGGAACAGGAATCCTTATTTTGGAGGCCTTCAAATTAATTAAGGGGAAACTTAAAAATATTTTTATTTCCCTGATATTATCAGAACTTTATAGCTCCCATTCCTTACTTCACAATTTACAAAGCAGTGGGAACAGATAATTTTCTCCCAGGGCCTCACATCCTGTGTGGTCTTGCGTCTGAGAATTAATAACCACTGCATAGAAGCTGACGTGCTGAAGCCTGGGTCAATTATTATAGATGTTGGGCTTTGTTTTATTAAGATTGTGGGATAGGATTATTTTAATTTTTTTATTCTTCATAAAATTTGCCTCTAGCTTTGCAAAGGGGATTATAATACAATTCTGACTTACTGAGACTCCTGCTTGGTAAATTCTGGTTAATGGAGGAGCTTGAAATGTGCTATGCCCTTTGCTTTTCTAACGTGTCTTACTATGGGATGCATTCAGAAGAACATTATGGTTGTTCCCTGGAGTAACGTTCCCCAAAGCCCAGTGGTGATGGTCCAGTGCCACCCATTCTTTCAGATAATGTTCACGATTGCCGTTGGCTTTTTCTTGGCCATCTTGGGCCGGAGGTTACCCTTTCGGCTGCACCCTAAGAACTCCCCTTTCTTCAGCGGTCTGCAGAGTTCTCTCGAGGACTCGGCCTGTTCGTGAATGGACTTGGTAGGCTGCATGCTGGCTCGGTCATCCTTGCCTTTTTTCATGTAGTTCCTTCCCTTTGGATGGAAGTGGGTCTTGAGATCAGGATGGTTATACACAGAATGTGAGTGCACTCTGCTTCTACCAATGTTTGGGAGCAGGGGAGAGGAAATAAGCAGAAAGAGATTTCTTTAAAACCTTGAAAGGATAACTACTGGCACAAACACGCCTGCAGGCTACTGGAGTAACAATGACACCATTAACAAAAATTATATATATATAAATTATATATATACACACACATATAGATATATATTATTTATAAATAATATATATTGGTATTTTTCTTCCAAAAGCCTGTGGACTCCATAAAATGACCGTATGATACTAAATTGGAAGTGTTACTAGCCCTATTTGCCAGTGATAAAACTGAGGCAGAGAAATTTTAAATGACTACCAAAAATAATAGATACATACAATCGTTTTATGGAGAAGACAGGACCAGAACCACTATCTACTAAGTGACTACAAAAGGTCTCAGACAAATCTACTGTGTAGATGCTATAAAGTATACAACTTACAGTATAAATTTACACGGGTAATGTAGTACACATACTACATTCACAGTATGATGGAGCTATTACTACACCGTATCTCAAGAAGAGAAAATGACACCATCTAATACTATAAAATGCTATTCTAATATCATCATAATCTACCATCTACCAATAGACTATCTGCATATTTGCAAGTCACTCAACACTTGACCATGTCAGATATACACGCACATAAAATTTCTCCTGAGCTTCTCAAATTCATTTATATTATCTTGGGTAGTCAGAAAAGTCATGACACAGTTTTGCATAGAAAAATACGTTATGATTTTTCTGATGACCCCAGAGATATCAGAAAAATGCAACAGGAAAACATATGATACAAATATCATCAAATGGCCCAAGCATAAAAAGATATATATACATACAGGCATTTGGGTTTCTTATTTGCAGAGATATCTGTAAGCTGAAGAAAAAGGAAAAAGAAAAAAGATTACTTTGCTTGAAGGCTGAATTTGGTTTTAAAGATCACTCATATTTTTGAAGCAAAATCACATGGAGGTCAGAAACTCTTCTTGGTAGTACTGTTATTGCCCCTGGCTGAGTCCATCACATCAGGCTCAGCTTCTGCCTTCAGGGAGCCTCTGTGGGTACTTGTTCTGAGGTTTACAGGAAGCCTATGTCAGCAGATCTCAAAAATTTCAAAAAGTCATGGAGCCCCCAGTGGAGCTAAGTTTGAGGAAGTATGTCTTTAAAAATTGGAATGATATGCCATTATTTCTTAATTGATTCAGGCTGTCTTTACAGCTAATCTGTTACAGCTGTGACCAGTCACAATGTATCGACTAAGGGGAAAATTGGCATAAAATGTTTATTGCCCAAAATACATCATTTCTAAAATGAGAGCACAGGAAGGCCAACCCCACAAGTGTCCTTGAGGCCATGTATTACTGATATTATTTTCCACTCCTAATAACTCATGCAATAAAATGTCTGCATGCAGCTTTGTGGTCAGGCTCAGAATGCTCTCATTTGCAGAATAAATTGATAGTTATCATTTTGTGAGCCAGATGGCACCATTCGGTTTATAGGCAAATCCAGTGCATTCTCAGCCTTCAGTGCCTAATTTCTCTCAGGGAGCTTTCCCTATGTAAAGGAATGGTGTCACACCAAACCAACAGGAGATGAGAACAACATGACGTGTGGAGAAAGAGTCACCTTAGTGTCTGAGTGTGCCCAAGACACACGTCCCTGCTACACTAGAATAGTCTGAAAACCCAAGTTCAGTATAACAGAAATACTCCTCCCGGTTCTTCTGTCAGCAACTTAAGCTTTAGTCAGGACCAAGCCAGATAGAAGATTCCTTAGGACTTTTGGGGCCACTCAGGTGGCATGGTGGTTAAGGCAGCTGGACCCAACCTGGCCGATGGTGTGGTTCAAGACTTGGACCCGGTAGCTTGAGAAACATGCAGGGTAAATGTGCCTGACTGCCCAAAATCCCAAGAGGAAAAAGGAGGGGAAGGGACTGAAATATGGGTGATCGTCCTCCCTGGAGAGCGCTCTCTCTCTCTCTCTGGCAAAAACACCTGCCTCACAGCAATTTAAACAACAACAAAAAAGACTTTCAAGGGTCATATTCCCAAGGAGGCAGGATAGGATTCTTGCTTTCGGTCTTCCACCACAATGAAAAGTCAGCAATATTTGATCCTGCTCATGCTGGCTGGGTTTGGCATGAGATCAGTAACTGGTAAACAGAAAAGAGCATCATCTTTACATGAGGCTCCTAAGGTTCAGCAG